GGGAGCAGGTGTTGCGGGAGTAGGCAATGCTGGGGTGCAGCGCTGGGTGCTGCCCCCCTGCATGCAGGCATGTGTGCTCGCCAAAGGAGAAGGTTCATCTGTTTGCCTCTGAGCGTGGCATATGCACTCATTCCTGGAAGAGAAAGACATCAATGTTTTTAAGGAAGTAAGCAAATGCTAAAGAATATCTTTTCAGAGTGGCCACCTCCCGCTTTCTTGAATTCCTCAGGGACAATGAGCGCTTTGTAACCTTGCAGTGCTCTCAGCAGCCAAAACAACTTCTGTGTGATCTCAGCGGCTGTAAATCAACGAGCTCCATCGGGTGCTACTGCTAGGGTAAATTCAGTGCTGATTGCTTTGATCTGCAATGCTTTTATTTTTTACCCTCTACAGAGATACACACAAGGTCAGGCTAATGGCTGAGACATGAAAAACGCATGTGGCCTTTATTGATCCTGCCATGATTAACGGCCCAGAGGGAAGGCTGGTGATTCATGCCCACTTGTGAGGTGCCTGTGAGTGCGAGCTGAGGGCCCGGGCACCCGAGCTGCTTCCTGCTGCTTCGGGGACTGCAGACATGGTTCTCACGGATGTCCTTGCGCTGGGCAAATAGAAATTTGTATGCAGTACACTTGCAAACTGGCATCTATTTCTGTTTGTCATTTACTTTCTCTGTCCATTTTGGAAATAGATCAAAACCAAGCCAACCTGAAACCTTGCTTCAGTCATGTTGACAAAGCCTCTTTCCTTTCCTGATAGCTCGGGTGGGCCAAGAAGAGAGTCCTTGAGAAGGCCATAACACAGAGCCTCCCTGGCCTGATTTTAGGCGATGTTGTGGCAGTCCCAGCAGGATGAATCCCCCGCTGCTGCTGTTGTGGGCTGGGCAAGGCCCAGCCAAAACTGGGCAAGGCCCAAGGCGCTGCAGAGTCCAGCCTTTTGGGTACCAGCATGTGAGCTCTCAATAAAGCAGCTTCAAAGCTGCTTGCTGAGATTAGCCTCGCAGTCTGCGGATTTTGGAAAGAGTTTCCACCCTACTGGGCATCTGTTACTTGCCAGTGGCAGGCCCAGGGGCTGCTCCAGATGTGCTGCCCCAGCCCACCCCCATGGCAGGGACCCCAGGCACGGGGCTCTCTGCGTGCCCCAGGCACGGCTGTCAACCCGCACGTGGGGCAGTCATCCTAACGTTGGAGGCGAAAATTGGGCCCTGCTGAGAGGATCTGGACAGTGGTTATGTAACTTTCCCATCTGACACGAGAACGCTTCCCCCTGAGCCATGCGACTGACGCCAAGGCCCCGTGGTGCTCCCCAGCATCCCGGCTGCTGCTGCCCACGCCTGCCCCAAGCCTGGTGCCTGCTGCGGCACCCCCAAAATCACCGCACTGCCACCTCCGCTCATTGCCTGCTCACTTGCTTCTGCTTTTATCCTGTCTTGCAGGTGCTGTGGAATATTTCCAATGCCCTCCCCTCACTAAGAGCAAAGACATGGTTTATCTTGGGCAGTGCCATCGAGGGGACAAAGCTTTGCTGCCAGAACAATTGCAGAAGCCGTGCCCCCTGCATCCCCAGCTGACAGCACCCCTTGGGACAGCCTGGAAGGCAGCCCCGTGTGCTGAGCAGCCAACAGACACCAGAAGACAGCACCTCAGCACCACCTGAAGGTCAAGGCACAAGGGTGGGCTCCACAAACCCAAAATGGACACATCCCCATGCAGGTAACTGCGGCGCAGTGCTCACACACCTGCCCATCCGGCCGCTAGTGTGTGCATTTGGCAGAGTGGCCCGGCTGCACTGTGCTCCCAAATTAGCTGTTTGGGCCAGGTCAGGTTGGTTTTCCTGTTTACTGTCTGAGTGGAAAATAGGGACAGAGTACAAAACCTCATCCCTGGGCTATAAAAAGACCTTTTTCTGTGGGCACAGGAATTTTACCTTCCTCTCATTTTTTTTGCCAGCCTGGCACTGCCTCGGTGGCACCAGGTGCATGGCCAGCAGGCGGTGATGGCCATAATGCGCAGCAGGAGGGATGCCCGGAATAGCAGCTCTCTGGCAGGAGATATTTCTTGTGTGGAGAGCTGGAGCCATCCACCATTCATCCCTGGGCCCACTGCAAAAAAAGGTCCCCTGGATGGGTTTAGCCAGCAGGAGCAAGTGGTCAGGGTGGATAAGACACTGCCCAGCCACAAAGCTGACCTGCCTGCGTGTCAGTTTTACAGCATCAGGATGAGTTATTGGGATCCTAAACTGTGCAAGCCCAGAGAGGTTGCTAAACCTTGTTTGCCTTGGACTGTTTGTCCAAAAAGATACTGCGAGGCGAACTCTTTCTTCCCTTCATAATTGGCCATAATCTTATCTGAGGCCTCCAACGTGTCCTAGCGACTCCTCAAGGAGATAACAACCACAAAAATAAGTCCAAGAGCTTTTATTTCTGAACCTTGAGAGCAGCCTCCAGGTGGGGTTGGCATCCACCTGTCAACAGCACCTGGACTCAAAAAGCTGTCGGTTTACCTTGTAGCTGGAGAAAAAAACTTCTGCATGAGGGCAGTAGGGTATAGCAGCCCATGCCTTGGGCTGCCTGGACGAGTTTGCTTTACCCTTGTCCCACCAAAGGATGTTTCTGGTGTGCATTGGTCGATGCCACTCAGGAGGGAGGCTTTAACAGAGCAGCATATGGGGACATTTCTCCCTGCCACCAACTCCCATGCTTGGTGCCTGCCAGCCCCAGGGTCCCACAGCAGGAGCATGTCCTGCTGAGCCCGTCTGTGTCCCTGGCGCAGCACATCTCCTGGGGCTTCTCCGTGCCTCCTCCCAGCCCAGAGCCAGCCTTAGTTTTAGCTGGGATTTTTGTATTTGTCTACAGCAAGACATTCACTGTGACTCCAGCCCCATGGCAGCTACAAAGTGTTGGCTTGATGCTGGTTTGTAGCTTAGAATTAGTTGTCAGACCTGCAGGTAGGCCAGTTTTTGCCACAGTTATTGGGTGTTGTGTTACTTTTTTATCTTATTCTGGTTCTCAGTCAAAATTAAATGCCAAGTGAAACGTGCTGGAGTGTCTGAGTGCTGCATCGGCATCTGGCAAGTCACCACCACAAAGGTCTGCTTTCTGCAAAGCTTCCTCAGCTGGCAGAAAGACACCAGCCGAGGGAGGGGAGCTGCACAGTCAGTGTGCCCAGCCTCAGGTCACGGTTCCTCGCCTCTCACTACCCGCATCCTCCCCATTACTCTTTCAAAATACAGACAAATTTGCTTCCTCCCAGCTGAGCCCCTCCGCAGCCAGAGCCCCAGGCTCCTGGTGGCAGCGCAGACGTCCTGCCTCCAGATGTGCCATGTGTTTTAGGGACAAGCAGAGTGCTTGCAAAGGGAGAGTTAAAAGAACTGAATGCGCACATAGATGTTTCTTGTCCTAGCAGTGGGGTTTTGCATCTGGAGCACTGGTTTTCTGCTGCCATGAAGGGTTTGGCAGTGTGATCTGGGATCTGGGTTCCTTCCCCAGCCCGCTGTCATCCCACAGGACTGATGGCATCACTGCCTGTAAACCTGGCAGGCAAACACCAGGAGCATGAGGCAGGGATAGGACAGGGCGAGCAGCAGCTTTGTGATGTCCAGATGGAGACCTTGCAGTGGGGTCCATGTTGTACTGCAGCAGCCATAGCGGAGTTAAAGATCTGTCTGACTCTGCTAAAAAGCGATTTTGCATGGTTTGTGTGCACAGCCTGCTACAGTTTGCCTGGGGTTTACCACACATTTTCATCATGCTTGCAAAATGCTGTTATCACAAATTGCAAAAACCAGCCTCGTCCTCATCTGATCAGAGTGAAACCAGCACAGCTATGCAGTGTCTCCAGCGTGTCCGGTTTGCTGAGCACTGCTGTGTGGCACATGGTTATTGCTCAGAGATGCTTCAGTTTGCTGCTTTCAGATTTATTTATTTTTTCCAGAGTCCTTGGCCTTGGACCGCAGAAGTGTTTTGTAACCATTGCAACTGGTGCACACACTTCATTAGCTGATGGCCATGACAGGACTTTTTGCCGAGGGTTGACATGGCCTTTCCCTATGCAAATATACTCCAATAAACCTGAACACCTCAGCGGCCCTGTGTTTATCTATTCTCAAGCAGGCTGCTGTGTGTGCCACCACGCTCCTTCACATCAAAGGTTCCGCTGGAACCCATCCCAACCTCCCTACAGCCCCATCCCCACGCCGTGTCCCTGAGAACCTGCTATGTCCTTGCTGCCAGTGCCTGTGCCAGGCCCGACAGCAGTGGTGCGGTGGAGGTGGGTGTATGTGCAGTAGCGGTGCAGTGGGGAGCCAGCTGTGAGGCTTTAGGTGTTTCCCAAGGCGAAGCTGCTGTTTGACACAATGGGCTTAATAATGACTACAGGGCTATTTAGGCTGCGGCATAAGCCTCGGGGAGCACTGTGCTGCCGGCCCTGGGGGAACCGGACACAGGTATTGCACCATTTGCTCTGTGAGCATCAGCAGTTGCAGGCGGGGGACAGGGTTTCGCATGAGGTGCTGCACCCACAAGTGAGTCAAAGCACTTCAGAGCTGAGTGCTATGCGAGGCAGGCAGCGGCTACCGCAGCTCTAGGGGAACCAGTGTGACTTTGCACCTGGGGAAAGCCCGTCCTTTTCAGGGGGAGCGGGTTTCCCCCAGCGGTGAGAAGTCAGCAGATGGGAAACACATGAGGACTTTTTGTCAGGGGCCAGCCGCATGACACACCAGGCCACAGCATGCCCAACATCGAGCGCTGTCATACAGCAGTATCAGATGGTACTTCTTGCACCAGGGGTCAAGTGACTCTGAAAATCAGGACATGAAAGTGCTTTGTCAATGCTAAAAGCCCATGTGAAGGAGAAAGAATTCCCTCACCCCTTCCTCAAAGAAAGTTTGAGATCACAGAATCACAGAATCACAGAATCTCTAGGTTGGAAGAGACCTCAAGATCATCGAGTCCAACCTCTGACCTAACACTAACAGTCCCCACTAAACCATATCCCTTAGAGATCATGCAGATGATTTGAATGTTTTTAAGTGCTGACTGTGAGATGTAAATATTTTACACTGGGTAGCGGGATCTTCCCTTTCTCAGTTTCTAAACTAGGTGAGCCACTCACAGGGGAGTCTTTAGACTTCACAGACACAAGATACAGGGAGGGAACCCTGACTGCTTGAGGCCACAGCTGTAGGAAGCGCAGCTGCTGATGTCCATCCAGTCTTGGTGCTCTGCTGTGCTTTGCACTTGGAAGTTCATATGTTATCGGGGCCGGTGAAGGGACGCTGACCTCTCAGGGTGTGTGTGCAATGGCCGCAGGCCTGCAGGTAGGTGTCTGCATGACACCAGCCTCGGCACGGCCTGATCCTTGTGCTTTGTCTCACGTGTTTGTACCGCTGCCTGCCAGCTCCACCAGCTCAGGGACAGCAGCCCCGGGGCCTGGACACCGTGCTGGTGGCCGAGATCTGGCCCTCGGCCTCCCAGGATGGCTGCGGCTCCCTCTCCCCGGCCCCAACACAGGCCCAGCAGCATCCTGCCTGGCACAGGTGGCTGGGAGCTAGAGGCAAACCCCGGAGAGAGGCTCAAAACTGGTTGTGGAAGAGAAGCCGTGCGCTTCACGACGTGCTGTAGAAGCCTGAACTGCCCTCTAAGAGCATGTCGGCCACTGTAAAAACTGCAGTAAAACACTGTAAAAACTGAGGCCGAGCCCCGCTGTCAGCCGGCAGGGTGCTGCAGTGCGGCGGGCAGGGCCCGGCTCGCCCCCGGCGGCGGACAGCGGGGCTGGGATCCGCGGCTCACACACGGCCCCAGGCGGCCGCAGGCGAGCAGCCCCGTGTGGGGCCCGGCCCGGCCAGCGGGCGTCGCTGCCGCCCGCCCGCCGCTGAGGGAGGGCCGCCGGCGGCCGGGACGTGGCGGGAGCCTTCAAGACACGGTCCTGTCGCTGCGGCTGCCCGAGGACCCGGTGTGAGCACGGGGGTTGGTTTGGAAGGACGGGCTGCTGCTGCTGCTGCAAGAAGCCTCCCGAGCCGCCGCAGCGCTGGCCGAGCGAGGGCCCTGCCTGCCATGCCCACAGTGCCGTGTGGCGCCCGGTCACGGGGCTCAACGCCACCCGAAGGACGCTGCCCTCCCTGTTCAGGGTTCTCTGTGATGAAGTTCAAAAAGAATTTTTGAAAATGTTAAAGGTTCAGGTGTACTCAAGCCTTTAATGGGTGGTTTCTCTCTCCATTAGGAATGCCTTTTCACACAAAACCGGCTTGCATCCCATTAGCGTTGCTCTGCTCATGTTTTCATACCACAGAATACCCTAACGGCTTGTAAAATTGAAGGCATTTGGGAAACCCTTGCTGTGCTTGAGAAGACAGAGGGGGCACAGAGCAGAATGGAAGAGCAGGGTGCCACATGCCAGGGCAGGGAGCGGTGGGCACGGCAGTGCTGCCCCTCACTGATGCAGTCCCCATCCAGAGCATTGGTCCCACAGGCAGGGCATGGCCACACACGGCTCCAGTCAGGCTTTGGGGAGCAGCTGCAGGGGTCGAGAGCAGATAAACTGTAATAAACAATTGAGTCTGATCTCCTTCATACTGAAACAAATTGAAAAAAGCTCAGCAAACCCATATAACACGGCCCGCTGCTGATTTCACAGCACCACACAAGTGTGGAGAGACCACCAGCTAACACCCTCCTGAGAAACAGCTAATCGTTGCATGCCTCGGCCTTTCCCAACACATCCTGGTTCATAAGTTCATCGGCTTCAAAGTTGCATCTGATCATTAACCCTGAAAGATCAAAGATTACTTAAGCGTTTAAACTGCGTGTTTGGGATGGCTGAGACGCACAAAGGTCAGGCACAAATCTGCGACCAAAATCCGGGACAACCTTCCCAAAGTTCAGGAGGGAGAGTAAGGTTTAGGGGTTTGCTTCAGCCGGTTGCTGTCACCCAGCACCCAGCCTGGCTCTGTGGTCTGTGGGGAACAGGGACTTAGCTGGAGAGAAAAGGGAGTCCTGCAAGCCTTTCATTTGTGCCAGGCTTGGCTGGAAAAATGCTCTATCCTTGGGGATTTTCCCTGCCATTTTCATTCCTGCCATGTGGTGGGCAGGAGGCTATCCCTGCGGGCTGAGGCCCTGTCTCCTGAGCTCCTCGCTCCCCAGTTGGGCTGCTGGCCCTTGGCCCAACAGCAGGCACAAGGACACAGTGCCAGCTCGCTGCCATGCTGGCACTGCCTCTGGGCATAGCACAGCTTGGGCTTCTGTTTTTCACCTGCAGAAATTGTACCATATTGCCTCAGAGGGCTGGCGTGTTCTCAGCACTGAAAACCAGATTTTGCCAAATTCCTAGTTGTTGCTCTTGGTACTTTATGCTGTTATGCTAACAGAAAAATGCATGTTATTCCTCTTGCAAAAACAGATAGGATCACTCCTTTGACAAGGGTCATCTTGTTTTCAGCTGCCTTGCTCTCCACAGAGATTCCTATCTGTCTCAGAAATGTTGCTGTCAGCCTTTTATGAGCATGAATTCAGTAGCACACTCCAAAGAAGCCCACTGTCCTCTCCCAGCCAGTCACTACCTGGTCCCCAAGCAGATGCTGATTTTGTGCAGGCAAAAATACTCATCTCAGTACTTTTGCCAGTACAATGACTTTTGCACTTGCTGTCTTAGACATAAAACCCAGACTTCCATCACCAGTTCGCCTAGCTGGCTGCAAGCACAGCGTAGCAAATGCCAATGTGTATGCAACTGGAAAGGTGAACTCTATGGGGGAGCAGACTACTGGAACTGTGACTAGTGGTGTGCCACTGCGTACTGGGATGTGAAACAGTCAGGGATGTGAAGTGACCACATATATTGCATGATGCACTTAATTCGACAGGGAAAACATGAGCAGTAAAAATGTCATTTGGTGCCTTGCTTCAGAGATTTCACTCTATGAAGAGCAAACCACCTTTGCTCCTGACCTGCTTTTGGCAAATTATCTGGTACTAGGGAGGAGAGAAGGTTTCACAATGATCGTACACAGGACTTCATCTGTTTCTTCCCCTATAACCCTCCATCTTGGTTGTGATAGGATTGTACACTACAGCTGTAGGACTTGTAACTTGCATGTGTTTCCCGTCCCATTATTCTCACAAGATGCATCCCTATTCCCCAGGATGGCACTGGCACACAGAGCTGGTGGCAGACCCTCCCCTGGCGGAGGCCGATCCCCAGCACTGTGCACAGCCTCCTGCAGAGGAGCAAGGTGTGCTTAAGCCACTTTGGCTAAGCTCAGGTCATGCAGCTGTGCTGCAGAGGACTAGAATGTGGCTGGCAAGTTTAAGCCAGAGGGCTCTACCCCAGCGGCCACAGGGAGGCTAGCAGGGCTCCAGGTCTGTTTCTGAGTCACTGGGGCTGTGCTCTTTGCTCCAGTGCCCCAGTGTGCCAGGCACCAGCAGCTCCAAACAGACCCAGCATTGCATCAGGAAGAGCTGTTCATCCAGGAGGGAAACATCCCTAAGCCCTTTGGTTGTGAAATGCAGGGACACAGACTGACAAAGGGTAAGGTAAAACCTGAGCTGAGGTGCAGTGTCTGGGCACTTAACACAGGGCTGTGCTGCGCGAGGAGCTGGGTGGCAGGAGGCAGTGAACATGCTGTGCCACCTCCCCGGGCAGAGGCAGCAAATTAGGATTTATCAAAAATCCTAATCTGGGGGATATTTTTACAAGGTTGAAGTCTTGCATTGAAAACAGCTTTGAGGTGCCTAGCAGCAGGCTATTCCATCCTGTTTGGTCTGTGCCCTCTTCGCTTTCACCCTGCAGCTCTGTGCTTGGTGCCAGTCCCATCCCCACTATGCCATGGCAGTGGGACGTGTGAGCAGTGGTGAAGCTGTACCATACGTGCCCTACTGTATAAGCCCCATAAAACACTGGCACCACTTCGTAGATTTTTTCCCCCTTTTTCTTGTATTTTTTTTCTTTGTTTGAATATGTTGCATGGCTTTATTTAGCTTTTGGGGGTCCAGAAGGACTTGTACTAAAGATGACAACTGATTTCCAAAGGCGAGGCAAATGATGCATGGCTGCAGGTCAGGATCCAGAAGGCGCCCAAGTCTCATCAGCCTGGAGGGCTTGGCACGCCGGCAGGGTGACTCTCCTGGCAGACAAAGCTGTGTGGCTCATTGTCTTTCAGTGCACCACAGAAACAGGCTGTTATTGACACCAGGCTTTGGAGCACAGACCAAGCCAGAGCAGGCAGCAATCACTTTCGAAGGTCATGCATACAATCTCTTTATGGCAAGTTTGCCTTCCGTGACTGACAAAAGCAGGATGGATCAAATGTCTTCCAACAGATCTGCATTAAAAATGAAGTACTGTTGCTTGGAGAACTGACAGTCCCACCAGAAATAATACAGGCTGCTGACAGTCCTCGCTTCCCAATAAACAGCATCTTCCCATGTTGTCAAAAGAGCTTCTTCGGGATGGGAATAAATAAGCAAGTTATTTGAATACGTTATTTGAGTGAAAATGTTAATGGCAAAGAGACAGAAATCACATTGCTCTGTTGTAAAAATACACTGTGGCTTAAAAATGCATTCCTGTTTCTCGTATATATGAAAATATATGTGTATGTATAAACACAATAGATATGTGTATCTATGCATATCTCCCTATATTTATACGTAATTATATGCATGTGCTGCGCCCATGCCAGTAGCTAAAAATACTCAGCAACCAGTCCCCCTCCTCAGAACACGTTTGGTGTGAGGCACTGGGGGCTCCTGTGCAAGGGCTGACTGCATCCCTTTCCCATACGTGCAGGTTGTAACTTAGCAACCGCTGCTGTATGCTCAGAAGACAATATTTCAAAGCTAATTGTTGCTGGCCTTATTAATGGCAACTGTCATGGCTTCTGGTGCATTACCGAGCCAGACAAGAGGAAAAGAAGCTTTATCAACAGACCTCCTGAAGAAGCTGGCCGTGAAGGGAGAAGAGTGGCACAAGGGGCTCGATGGTGTGCCAGGAGGTGGGAGGCGGACACAGTGGGAATGGGGCAGGCTGAGGGGGTACAGCCGCAGCTCAACAGCAGCCCGCAGCCGGAGGCGATGCCGCAAACCAAGAGCTGAAGGAAGTCAGCAGGGTTTGTTCCGGTATGATACAAATATATGCCACAGATACGCACACACATCCCTTTGAGTATGTGGGCATGAAGTAGAGTGCTAACTTTCGACGTGCCCTCGAGCTGTCTTTGCCTAGAGGATGAACACGCTTGCACCTGAAGGACACCGTCTGCGGAGGTTTCCCCCCTTCTCAGCGGCTGCCACAGCCACCCTGCGAGAGCAGCCGGTCAGCCTCAGTGCCACCCTGCAGCTGCAGCGACTAATTAACTGAGCCATTTCACAGAACAGCTTATATTTCTATTTGTTCCTCCTCTCGGAGGGCCTATGGCTGCTGCTGCACCAGCCCAGCACAGGGGGCTCCCGGCACTGCTCGTGCTGCTGGGCTCTGAGCGGGTGCAAGCATTGGCTGCGGCGCCAGTGCAGGGTTATATAAAGCAGAAGGGGTTTATATAAGCCTATTTTATCTGCAAATCATTTATATTTAGAACACCTATTTCTACTGGAAACCCTAAAAGCGTGTTACATAAGAGCCTGATAAATCCTTTGGCTTAAGGTTTCGGCAGGGGGAGGGGGTGCTCAGCGCCTGGTGCGTTCAGGATCCGTTTTGTAACCAGAGTCTCAATGTGCCATTTACAGCTGGTCTTGAAATCCTTTCTGCTCTCACTCCACAATACCTTGACAATAGCAGAACACTTCACTGCATAGAAATTTCCCTCTCCTTCAGTGCTGCTCTCATTTGGAGATTTTCTCTGGGTGTTTTGCCAGCACGGCCGAGAAGGCAGTTCAGTACTGCCAGGCAAGTGTCCCGGTGCACGTGGCACTGCTTGCTGCCTTTGGGAATGTCATGGGCATTGCCCAGCGGTAGCAGTGCTATCCTCAGATCTGCAGAAGGCACTGGCTGCAGCCTTCATTTAGCAATACAAAAAGAAGGGGCTGACTTACCTTGCCGTTGGTATGAGAATATTTTCTAATGAACTAACTATTCCTCAAACCATCTCTTTGTGGGGAAGGGAGGAAAGATTATGGCAGTGGTCATAAAATACACATGTAAGTGCAGAGCGGGCAGCTGCACTGCTTTGGCTTTACGTCCACGTGGCTGCAGAAGCTGGCCGTACCTGGGACTGTGCTGTTGGGCAAAGCCATGAGTTCTGCGAGGGTAAATGGCACAAGGAGCCTGGATCACCCAGCCCCAGGCAGGGGAAGGACCATCCTGCATTTTGTGCTGTCTCCTTTCCATCTTCCTCCCAGGTGTTGGAGCCCTGGGTCCTGTGAGCAGCAGGCAGTGGCCGTGGCTCCCCAGCTGTGTGGCACCATCTCCCACGGGACGTGTGACACCCCCCGCCCACACCATCGCGGATCAAGTGTCTTAAGCAAATTCTTGTCATAGTTTGTTTGAGCCAGACACTGTAAATTGGATTAGTGTGGTGCCAGGAGAGATTTCTAGAGTGAAATATTTAAAACTAGCACTAATGGGAACCAGTCTATGGGCTGCCACTGGACAGTCTCTGCCCTGCCAGTGAGTGCAGGGGCTCCTGCAGCTGCTGCCGCTGGTGCCTGTGGGCTCGGGTATTGTGGAGCAGGCACCCAGGAGAGCCTCTGCAATTGGAAAGTGGGCTGCAAGGAGCAAAAATTCACATTGGACCCTGCAACAGTGATCTGGAGGGAAGAAAAAAAAATGCCTTGGGGCTGATTTGCAGTGGGAGCTGCAGGTGGGGTGTGCATCTAACTGCCTGTGTGCCCAGCAGTCAGGCCTCCAGCTCCAGCCAGTTATTCCATTGCAAGCAGTCCGTCACCTTCCATTATTTCTCACCTGTCGTAAAAGTGATGTGGCTGGAACAGATGAAACACAAAATTGTCAGTATTTGGACAATTTTATGGATGTGGAGCACAAATCTGTCTCATGGTTTGAGCACAGAAGATGAGAAATAGAGCCTGTGGAAAATACTAGGGACACTGGCATCCTAAGGACTTTAACTATCCAAAAAGCTGATGAGAAAAGCAACAACTATTCAATGGGAAACCAAGCCCACAGCGTATTCACTGCAGGACCTGCATGGTGCTGGACAGAGCCAGAAAGGTGCTGCGTTTATTCCTCTGCTGAAGGCTACAGAGCTCCTGGCCACCACAGGTGCTGGTCCAGCCAGCGTGCCAGGGCTCTGGGAGGAGAGGCGGTGGCTGCAGAGGAACTGCTCCGTGCCGGCCACAGCCGAGGGGGTTAATCCGACCGTGTGGGTCTCACCAAAGCACTCTTCTGTGCCCATCTGACTCTGCACCAGCACTAGCAATTCACAGATTCAATTAGACCATGGGAGGTAAATAAGTGGATAACAGCTTTGACTCATGGAAAATAGCATTTCTTTTACCTTCAAGAACAAACCAGTTTGGTGTAGCCTCAGAGGTTTCAGTATGCACTTTGCAATGGCTCAATGAACTCTTAAACTATGGGGTTAAGGCTGATCTCACGCTTGCTTCTGAGCACAGTTTATGCATGCTGGAGACCGGGCCTGCTGCTGCAAGCAGCACAGAGCTCCTGCTTTCCTCTCGTGAGGCTGCCATGCGCTGCCACAGGGAGCAGAGCACCGCTCGTGGGGCCTGTCCTGGCGAGGGGCCTGCCAGGGGCTCGGCCGGCTGCCCGCGTGGGGCCGCGGGAGCGTCACCGCCACAGCCCGAGCTGCTGCTGACAGCAGGAGCTTCCCCACAGCCCTGCCATAAATCCATGCTGCTGGCAGCCATTTGAAGGCAGAGACGGTTAGCAAGAGAGAAACGTGGCTGTGTTTTTATTTTGTCTTACGCTCAAAGGAAGCTGTGCATCACAGCTCTGAAAGCAGCCCGAGACCAGCTCAGAAGAAACACAGCTCCCCGGTGGCACCCAAGCGTGAAATCGAGCGTCATCTTGCTACTGGGCCGTGCCTTTGAGGTTGTATCAGCTAAATAAATGCAACGCCAGGCTGGTGTGTGGTAAACGATAGTTTACAACCGTCATCTGATGAAAAAGAGAGAAGGTGAGGGAGCACATTTGAGTAAATGGCCACAGTAAGTCACGTTCTCTGGCCTACCAGCCGCTGCCAGCAGAGCTGCAGGGGTCTGGCACGGGCCTGGAAAGGTCTGAGGAGCGGCATTTCCCCCCGACCAGCAGGGGTTCGAAAGCCTCCCTGCTCCCCAGGCAGGCCGGCAGCGCTGACTCGCCTCCCTGTGCCCAGCTTTCCAACATCCTGTTTGCACCGTGGTTATTTTAACCTCCCTGTTTCTTTCCATATTTTTCCTCCTGCCCACGCCAATGCACGCTGCGATTTCTGGCAGGCAGGCTAGAAAGCTCCCCGCTAGCATCTCCCGCGATGAGCTGATCTGGTGGCACCACCCTGGCCTGCTGGACATCCACAGCCCCAGCCGAGCGGAGACTCCAGGCCTGCCCCATGGCCTCACTCAGCCCAGGGCTACCTCCTTGGCCCAGGGCTACCCCCTTGGCACTTGGCCATCTCCTCAGCCCGCCCAGCTGAGCGTGGAGCGAGGCAGAGCGCCTCAGGGCAGCTCGGGGCTCTGCTGCTGTGTGCGCAGCCCCCAGCTGAGGGGTGGGAGGGAAGGAGGCACTCGGCAGGCAGAGGCCGCACAACAGAGGAGCAGTTCCAGCCCAGGCGAAACAAGGCTCGTAAGTGTGCAGTCTGCATAAAACAAGATCAAATGGAGAATCGCGGGAAATCAACGCAATACCATGCGTAAGTGTCCATATAATTTTGTGTGTAGAGGTAGCAATCTCTCAGCAAGTGTCAACACCATGTTTGCTAAGACAATCTGTAGTATTAGCAGAAAAAAATCTGGGAGGCAGCCATAATACAAAATAAAAACCAAACCCATCTGCTTTATTAATCATAGGCTTTAAAAATGTCTCTGCTAGTTATGCAGCTATTTCAAGATCTGTACTGTTAAATCTATATCCAAACAAACACAGAAGCCACAATAATTCTGTCATTCAGTTATACAGGTCTGCAGCTTTAAATGGTTAAAATTAGAAAAAAAAAAATCAAGAACAACATGAAATGAAAATGTCTTTATACAGCTTGTAACACCAAGGATTTAGCTTTTAATCCACTCTGAATGGCATTCCCAAGAAAAGGAAAGAGATAATGTCCTTTATTGCCAGAGTCTGGGTCTGGACCACCGATGCTGATGCCTTTCCTTGGCTGCAACCTAAAAGTGTGTCTGGAAGGGGATTTATGATCAGCCCTCTTGTCAAGCAGGAACTTGAAACTGGCAGTACTCGTGGTGTAGCGACACCTTTTGGGAAGGATGATGTCAAGTTGATATGACAGAGAAAAGCAAACAGATTTATCCTCACCTTGCACCAGCCGTGGTGGGATCAGTGTGGCAACAAGTCCTCCCCAATGCACAGCACCAGAGTCCTGGGGGATGGCTGGAGGAACATGGCTAAATTCATGTATGGAGGAAAGCCTGTATTTCATTAGGCCTCGCCTCTGAGAGTGGCCAGTGATCTTCAGCCAAGCAGGCAGGAGATCACCCACATGTCTTGGACTGTACCCAGCTACAAATGATTGCTGGAAGAAATCCAGCAATATTAAGCAGATACTAAGCAGATACTAAGCAGATCTGAAGTTATAAGAAATATGGAAAAAATCAAAGGTGTAGCTGAAGGTCAAGTAGTGTGGAAGTGTATATTAGAGTAGGAAAAACATGTCGGTCTTCTACCAGTTAGGGAACAAACCCCAAAACAGGTAAAAACAAAACAAAACAAAACCCACCAAAAAATTTTGTAATGACTCCATACTCTAGAAACATCAACAGAGCATATTAACAGTAAGGGTGGATTAACTCAAATGCATGAATGCAGACAGAAAGTCCTTCTCCATGTCTCCTCCATATAACCACACTCTTGTTCAATGGCCCTTGAGTCCAGCCGATACCAACTAAAGCCACCAACATCCCTGCTGGAGCCCAGGATGCAATCGACAGAGAGGGAGCACCACCATGTCACAGCGTGTTCTGGGGGTACAAATGAGCTGGGGACTGACGCCTTCATCAGTCCTTTGGGCGGAAAGCATGATCCAAGGTGCAGCAGCCATACCTGAGACAACATGAGAAACGCCTCTTGAAAGGTTCTTGAGCCACGTTGCCACCAAGGCCTGACCGCAGTCACCTTACAGGCAAGTCATTTTGTCAATAGGGGAAACAGAGTTGGGAAGGGCAAGTGGGGCATAGAAGCAATCATATCGCTTGGCTCTGAAGACGGACAAGTCATAAGTTCCCTGTCCAGCACCCAACTGCAAACAGCATCCTTTCTTATTTCATACCATACATAACATTCTGGCTGCATGACATAAAGGTTAAAAGTAATTTTGGCTGCAGTAGAACAGCACATAGATTACAAGGGGAATTTTATTATCAGAGTTCACTATAGAAGGTCTGCTTTGCAGTCAGGATGTGATAGACAAATTCCAGAGAAAAGACAATCATTATGCAACGACTGCTGCCAACTATTGACAAAACTATTTGCAGAACACCGCCATACCCGGTTATCACCACATGCAGACGCGCTATCAGGGTAGCTCTCCCTCCACACAGTTTGGTGCATGCAAATTATGTTATCAGTAATGCTAATTCTCAGTCAGAAGAAGTCACTGAACTTTTCACCAGTCAGTAGTTTAAGGAGTTCTCAAGTAACACTCAGAGTGAACAGATAACGATTATAAATATAGAGACACTTGAATGGAAGCGTCAGAATGCAGCGTACCAGCGGTGATCTTGATTGTTTGCTTGTTACTAAATACACCACAGCATTACTTCACAGATTGTTCAGCTCCAGTCTGATGCAAACAATGGCAGAACACCAAAAAAGAATTTACAAGATTATGTAAGCACAGAAATAATTCAAGGGATAGGGAATGACTTGGTTCAGGGCAGCTGTTGCTCAGGTTTGCATCTTTTGACGAACAAGGAGGTTTGATTGTTTTAGTTATGTGAAAGCTTGACAGGCACTTCCAAATCTCACCAGCAGAAAGCAACTTGCAAATAAAGGGAAGAAGATTTGTGTGAGCAGATTTATTTCAGGGTTGTTTTTTCCTTGTACCAATACCTAGAAATAACCTGTGCAACAGCATGTCACTGGCTTTCTCGGGAACCCAACTAAAATTATTTCAGCACTTTGTAGGATGTACGCCTGTAGAGAATTGGGGGTGACAAGCCCACATTTAGCAGAAGATGCCAGCTCTGACTGTTACAGGTTTTAGAAGGGGACAGACAGAACACACGGAGCTCCAGACCAATGGCAGTCCCATATGGAAGAAAAAAACTCCCTGCAAACAGGAAGCTCCCACCCACCCTGGATTAAAAAAAAAAAAAAAAAAAAAAAAAAAAAAAGCATCAAAAACATGTCCTTAAACTAATGTCCCCAGGCAATAAGCCAAAGAGAGTATTTAGGAAGGCTTTAAATGTATGTACCAGGCACAGTTCTAAGAACTTCTACAGCACAGAAAACAAGAAAAAAAATCAAGGTGAGAGGAAAACAAAGTAAACCAAGGCATACAAATTTAGCTGCACTGAGTGGACTGATTGCTGCCTATTTAGGCATGCCCAGTTCATTTTCAGCTGGCTACTTTGCTGATTAGTGGCAGAGAAGCTGTGGCACTACAGACTGCCCGGCTGCCCCAGCTCCCTGCTGGTCTGAAGAAGCTGATGAGCAGCCTCCAGCCCCGCTGCGCTCACTGCAAGGACTCACTGCAAGCTAAGATGTGCTACGCATGCTGTAGTCATACCATTAACAGCAGCGTGGGCTAAGTCTTATAGAAACATATGAGATTATATATAGCAAATCTTATTTAATTAAAATTAAATACAATTGTGAGAGAGTTAACTGACCGTGACTGAGAACTCCTGATCAGAACAAACTGTTCAGCATTGTCGTGCCGGTTTCCAATTATTAGGTCTCATGTGATGACAGCACATTTAATATGCTCTGTCCTGGTCTGTAAATAATGGTAAACAACATCTCTTCTAGCTGAAGTTACTGTTAGATTTTAATCAAAGACTGCACAGAGAAGGTACTTTGAAAAGATGGCTAGCATCCTCATTTCTCACTTGCTTTTTTGTTAAATAAGGGTGTTCCATTTTACTTGGCAAGCACCTTGGCATTGAACAGTCATCCCTTTATCTGGTTTATAATTTAAGCCTTTTCCATAATTTGTTTTTAAAGACAATTCAGTTGCTAGGTCACAGCCCAAGAACTATTCGTGTAACCGTCCTATTTTTCTTCCAGGGATGGGCATGGCAGATGAGTGCAGGACAGGAACCATCTTCTGCCCACGGGGACGCTCCCCAAAACCCTGCACTTTGTGACTCTTCTCCCACCACAGGACTCTTGCAGCTTGCCTACGAAGAACCCAACTCCATGCTTGGATTATCTTTTTTTTTCTAGCAATAGATTTAACTCTACATGATCCTTGTAAAGCACTTCACTTTCTTTAATCTTCCCCACATGAGGGATTACTTCTGCTTAATAAACATGATGGCCTGGCTGTACCCTCCAACCACCAGGGCACGCGCCCTCCTAGAGCAGGGCTTCACCTGCAGCAGCCAGCAGCATCTGTCCCATGCTGCTCCCACAGCACAGCCAGAGCTCAGAGGCAGTCCGCGCTGGACTTAGCCTCAACACCTGACCCTCTGCTGCTTGTGTAAAATGCTTCCATTCGACCACAATGAGTTTCTTAAGTACTGTTGAGTTTGTTGGTTTTTTTTGAAATACACTTCTGCACAGGATGTGTTTTTAGCCTGAATTTCATTTCCAGTTTCTAAGTACTTTCCTCCCACTCCTTTCATCCAATCTCAGAAAAGCTGACTACCACACCAATTCAAAGCAGTCCCTCCCCTAGGAGAAAGAGCAGATGTGTTTCCTCCTCCCTCCAGTCCCACGCACACGAAGCAAAGTGACTACACCAACGCTCACATAACGTGCCCCTTGAAGCACTGTGCCCCAGCTCCCAAGGTGACTGGTTTCTGCCATGCTCCCTGTTTTAACAGTTGTAGCCATACTACCTGCCAGAGGAGCAGGGATGAGAAAAAAAAAAAAAAAAAAAAAAATGAAGAATTAAGACACTGTCATGGAAAATGTTACAGGAGTTTGCCAGAAGACACAGCTTTATTGTATGGCTCATTAGCTACCTCAGGAATGGCTCTGATGGGAGGAACTGGAAAAGAAAGTAATACTGCTGTTCTAAGGCATGCTGCAACAGACTCAGTCTGCACATTTCTGAACATCCCCTTGCATCCCACTCCTGAGATCTCTATGAAAACGCTCCAGCGGGTTTCTTGGCTGAGGGACACGTAGGATTACCTTCACTCTAGCTTGCCAGTGACATGAGGGTGCTTGCATGCCTGTGCAGCAGTTTTTCCACTTTAATATTCTGCCTGAGCAGTTGATATAACACCACTGCTCACTTATAGTCTGGAATTCAATTGTCTTTTGAACAGATATGGTTATTGGCACTGTGGTACACACATACTTTCAGCCATACCACTACACGTGATTCTAAGTACAGGCTGTGCACACTGAACAGAAGCACACTCGCAGTCTCCTGGCTGCTCTCTGCATCCCCAGCAGCAGCACTTCTCACACAGAATATGAGCTCAGGCTTCCTTGAGCTCCTTGTCCCCTGTATGAGGCAAGCAGGCCTGCCTTTGTAGCACAGCTGGCTGTTTTTACAGTGGCAGCTGTTTGTTTTTCACTGTACAAAGCATCAAAGGACAACAGTCATTTTTGCTGGCCATGTTTTTATTTGTCTTTCGTTTTAAACAGGGGAGCCAATGATACATCCAGTATTTCAAAAAATCAGAAGGTAAAACAAATTTTCAGAAGACCGAGATGCTACATGCTATATTTAACCTAATTTTATTCATGCTTGCTTTTGAGGGGCAGCGGGAAGGGGGCAGGAATCATTCAGTAAAAACATACAGTAAAAACAAAATGTCTCACCATATAGAACTTTAACCTACAGTAATGTTGTACCTTAATTATTTCCATGCACACAACTAACATTACAATTTTTTTTTTTAAATGAACACAATTAAGACTTCTAGGAGCATTTTATAATAAAGCAATTCCTAATTTCTTTTGTAGAGATCAAGCACCTCCAATTACAAATTCCTATACACAGTGAGTGCTTTACTTGAAATGAAAACTAGAAAAAAATGTATTGATAGCCTCAGAATAAGCTGATGTTAATATATATCCAGCTATGTAGGCAATAAAACCATAGTGCTAAACAAAAACTTTTATCTGAAAAGTAACTCAAAAATTAAGTTGACTTTCTATAATTACAGAAATATACTTATTTGCTAAAATAAATAAAAGTGCTGCATATTAACACTTCACTATAAAGAATGCATACCAGAACATTTATAAATATTGAATGATTTTCAATAAGAATAGCTACTACAATAATGCTGGCTAAATAGAAGTGCATAATGAGAAGCACTATGGGTGGTTAATGTTTTGCCACATACTGCTGTTACCTTGAGGTAGATAACACATGCGTACCAAATTCTGCATTCATTTCAGTTGCTGCTGGTATCATGTGTCTAAGAAATGTGTACAGTATGAAAAACTCTAAAATACGCATGAATGAAAAAATGTTTTGGGAAAAATAGATATTTTCATGCAATTATGTACAGTCTCACTGTGTAAATTTCAAGGCAAGATTCTTTTTCTGCAAAACATGGACACCGTTTTACTGAGAGAATTTTTTTTTTTACTTGGTTTAGTGCATTTTTGTTACCTCCTGCATTTTGCATTATTTTGCTCTATTCTTTAATTTTGTGTGCAAACGACATGCCAGTTTAAAAACAAAACTTATGTATAGAAAGTAATTCTGGATTGTAAAAACAATGGTAAACAGAAAGCTAATGAAATCCATACCAAAATTACACCATCTGATTCAAGTAAAAAAATTACTTACACTAGTAATAAAAAAAGACAAACACATCTCATGAATATAAAAGAAATGTCTGCTGAGTGTTTTAATTTAGATGTTTCAGAATGCTGCTGTATGTTTTGTGGGGAATCTGGGGAGATGATTTCATAGCAGAAGGCGTTAACGTGGCCTGTATCGATTTCAGTGGCGAACCAACAGGGCTATGAAATTGAGGAATACCTATCGCCTCAAGATGTTTGTTGAAGAGGAGTTCTCCACTGTTACTAAGAAAGCTCTCTTCTCTTTCCTTCTCCCCAGGCTTCCCCTCTTCTACTGGCTCAGGTTCTAGCATTTCAGCATCTTCTTTCTTACTAAAAAATTTGTCCAAATAACTGGTGTAAGTATTTTCTTTCTCAACGTGTTCATCTTTCCTGACTTCACAACAAAACTGGTCTATGAGGAAGCACTCCTCCCCACTACTTACAAACTGACTGTCCCAAGAAGTTTGGTACAGAGCTCCTAACTGTGCCAAATTAGCCATTCCTTTCTCCTGCTTCTCTCTGCTTACCGACTTTGATATTAATCCTTTCAACTCCATCTGAGATACTGAGCTATTCAAGTCATTTAATTTATCAACATCAGTAGACTCGTGTTGTAAACTAAGCTGAATAGTTTCTGCTATGAATGAATCAAAGTCAAATCCTTGATTCTTCTCCCTTTCTTTTTCAACAAGTTGCTGTGATGCTTCCTCAAGCGCTATCTGAGCTTTCACCAATCCATTCTTTTCACATTTAGACTTGCCTTTCTTATCAGACTTTTCTTTGCTCTGTTCCTTCCAGTTTGAAAGATCTATAATAAGCTTGGGCTCATAGTAATGGTTAACTTCACTGTCTCGCCAAACTAAATTATCTAGGTATGAAGATGACCTCATTTTGTAATTACAAGTGTGACTACATTCTAGATCACAGTATTTGTTTTCATGGTGATCTGAATACTGCCAGCAAGGCTCAGTAGAGAAGTGGGTGTCAAAAGCAGGATCCTCCAGATACTTTTCACGATCTCCATCCAAATATTTGCGAGGATCTACTTGAACTTCTTCCTCATCAGTAACATCAGAAAGAGCCCTTGGATCACGCTGAACTTCATCAGCTTCATAGTTGTTATGAATAGGCCAGTCATGGTCTGAGAACTGACTTTCATGGTATCTGCAAAACAATTTCCTATGCGTTAGCAACGAAAAACAGTCTTCTAGCTCACAAGACAGTGACAGTGTCCTTACAGATATTCTCTTACAGAATAATGATAATTCAATAAAAATAACCTAAGTTTTCCCTCAAATTAGGTACCTCTTCCTCTTTTTTTTTTTTTAAAAAAAAAAAGTTTAATCTGGCATAAAGCAATCCTCATATACACATCTGAAAGATATAAATTCAGAATTATGTATGATAGCTCACCCTATTGACAAAGCTCTTCCATAAAGTCTGACTTTAAATACGACTACTGAAATTCTCTTTACTGCTATAAGCACTACGCACTGAAAAAGAGCGATCCATACTTAAAGCACTCTTCATTTTGATTTATTTTTTAAAGACAAATATTTTGGGCACAGAAAAGTAGTAACATAGATTAAACTTTAGATTTTATATTTCCAAGTGCATCTCAGGAATGTGTCAGCATACCCTAATCAGTCTTATGAGCCACAAGCCCAATGATTCTCAAGTCAACTTGAGAAACACGTAGAAAAGGAAAGGATGCTTAAGAAGCAACATGGCTTCAAACACGCAACAGTTAAGTCACATTACATGCTACAGTAAGCAATAAATTTACCTTTCCCAATTATAAATATGGCTGTGACTTTCATCCATCAGCAGAATATCATCTACCTCATCTTCAATGTGAAAAGGATGACTTGAAATAGGCTCATCCGTTGGAAAGGAATAAATGCTCATGTAAGGATGGGACAAAGCTTCTTCTGCTGTCAATCGATCCATGGGACTAAATGTCAAAATTTGCTCCAGAAAGTCCAGTGCTGTGCAACAGAAGTTATGATTTAAAAGGAGAAAAAACAACATTTCAGACATCCAGTATTAAAGATTAAAGTGCAGTGCTTAAAGGAGTGTGCACCTGCTTAAAAGGTATAGTTTGCTACCCATGATATATCACGTACTAACACTTAATGGCCAAAAAAAATAATAATAATTTGGCAGCCATAGGAAATGCAGAAGAGTAGAGATCAAATCTAGGATCTACAATAATTTATCCGAAAACAGGAAAAAAAAAATACTACAAGAAAGAATGCTTCAAGTTGAAACAGTATCCACCAACATGTGTCATGAAACATTGCTGTCAGCAACCAAGTTTCAAAACAGTTTGTTTTGGAGACTTTAACAACAAAATAAATTCAAAGACTTGTTTTAAACTGACACCATTCCAATGTTCTCTTATATTTAGAAGGCCAGTGTCTCAAAATATAGCAATTTTAATCAGTCTTTCAGTGTAGACAGGTCCAGCATGGAGGCACAATTCTACTCCAAATATGATCACATAGCTATCGCAATCATATATATATATATATTTATTACAGTAGAATACAGTTCTTCTTCAGATCTTCAGAGAACGCACGGATTCTTCTAATTTAAATTTGCTTTTAACAGTTGTAGGCATACACTTTTATGCTGTTCACCACTATTTTACTATTTGTGAAATATAGAAAACATTTTTTCAGAATAACTTACCTTCTGGACTAATGCCTGGAAGCAACTGAGTTAAAGGTTTGTGTGGCTCAGTCATATCATTTCTAATGTAAACTGGAATTACATTGAGAAGCTCCTGACGGTCCTCCTCATGTACAACAGGAATTGATTCTAGAATCAACTGCATCTGTTCAAGTTCATGTGCACCTGAAGATGGAGAGAAAATACAAGCTGTCATATCAGCTTCAAACACTTTCATCCCTGTGTATGAACGGCACAGGAAAAGGTTGCGCTCTGAGCAGCTATATTTTCTGTACAAGATTCTTCAAGAGAGGAAAAGCTGTGGTACTAACTTTGAGTGCGAAGTATGAAAAGCTCTCAAAAATGCTATTCATGAAGAATTACAGGACTGCTACACATAGATAAAGCAATGTAACCGCAAGGTTTTGGTAAGAATGTTTTTACCAAGTATGAGGGACTCCTCATCAGTCATATCATACAACAGCTTGGGCTGGAAGGGACCTTAAAGATCATCTAGTTCCCAGCCCCTGCCACGGGCAGGGATGACACCCAGTAGATCAGGTTGGCCAAGACCCCATCATGAGGGGCCTTGAACACCTCCAGGGATGGGGCATCCAGCTTCCCTGGGCAACCTGTGCCAGTGCCTCACTACCCTTACTGTGAAGAATTTCTTCTTAATGTCTAATCTAAATCTATCCTCTTTTAGTTTAAGACCACTCCCCCTTGCCCTATCATTATCTACCCAAGTAACGAGTCCCTCTGTCCTTTTTATAAGACCCCTTTAAGTACTGAAAGGCCTTTATGAGGTCTCCCTGGAGGTGCTTCAGCCCTCAGACCATCTTTGTGGCCTGATCAATACCCTACTTTTTCCTTATATACCATATATTGCATCCCTTCCCTTTCAGGTGATCCACCCAATTCATTCAGTATTTGATCCAACTTTGAATTATAGGTCCCTTATTGATAAAAAGGGTTGTAGCCTAGCTCAGCAGGAGATCTCACAGACCACACTCATTTGTGTCAATGTTCTACTCTGAAATCCTGTATTACTGTCACATGCAAGACAAAAAACTATTTGCCATTTAAGCAGTGTAATCTTACTAAAAAAACAGTACTGCATTATAATTTAAATTCTGCTACACTTTTACACAGTAAAACTTCAGATAAAGCTGAAGAACTGTAAGGGCCTATAACGTTGGCAACTTTGGGAGTAATGAATGACATCGTTGTTTCAGCAGCAGCATGCAATCAAATTGGAGTACCAAGAAATACATTGTCTACTTCCATTTATTCCTCAGCTCCAAGAAGCACGTAGCACCCCAGAGAGTCAAGTGGTGGATGACATTATGCAAGACTGTTTGCATACCAGTGCTGCCCACCTTTAGCAAGAAGCTCAAGGCAGTCAGCAGTACTGGATGTGGCATCAAACAAATAAATGGAGCCAGAACCAGGTTGTACCATCTCAAGATCTACACACTATCAATTCACTTCAGCAGTTTGCGTAACAGTCTGCATTGGAAATCCTACCATGTATCTGTCAGATGACAGAAAGAAAGTCGGAGGCAAAGTCAGTAAAGAGAAACTGAGCAAGACCTACATTCCCCAGCTGAATTAGTACTGCCTCATGTTAACTTATTTGCTGGATTGAAAAGCTGTTTTGTCCGCCTACTTCAGGCTATTACAAATTACTAATATAATCTATCAGACGCTACACTGTCTGAAATTTGCTGGAAATAGGATTTTAATCTATCATTATATCATGTCCTATTCATCCTAAAATTAATCAGCTTTTTTTCAGTCCACTATAAATGAAATTAACATTTAAAAGTATTTATTTAAAAGAAAAAAAAATCAGAGTTATTTGAAATAGCTACTGAATTCCTCTGCATTGATATTCCATCCCTCCCTCACCCAGGTATTCTGGGATTTTCATCTCCATTCTTTCTTCCCCTTCAGCTTTCCAGGAAGCAGGATTCCTAAGGGATGGCTCAGATGGAGACAGGAAGTTACAAATTGATCAAACTAAGGCCTTCAAACAAATTTGCAAAATAATTTTATTCAGAGTCTCAGGACAGGTTAACTGAAATCTCCAACTATTTTCGCTTTCCAAATGTATGACATTAAAAAATCCATTCTACTTCAGACCAGAAAACAAAATGTAGTGCTAAATTAGAGGGACACATCCAGATCTAAAAATATTTCCTATGTATCTACATAATTCAACTAGGGTACATAAATGGGTCTATAAACTGAGGATTTTGGTTAATCTTAAGTTAAAAAAAATCTAAATTGCTGTATGAGGAAAAACAAAACAAACAGACCAAGTGCTACTCATGTCATTACATAGCATTTGCAATCCATCTATGCCAAATGCTGAAACCCACTGGCTTTCTCCCACGTTTCGCTCTTTTCCAACAGAAGCACTCAATGCAATGGAATCTAAATGCTCGGCTGCTAAGAGATGTGTTAACGCACAGAGGACATTGCTCCAGTAGTTATTAGCTCAAAGAGTTAGCAACTCACCGCAAGTTAAGAAAATCCTCTTTGCATATTAATCAATGGATTTCTATAAAATTATGATTTTACAGTGTGACAGTATTCTATTAAGAGTACGTAATGAGAAAGTGCTCTCATTTCTTCACCTTGATGTATAAAGCAAAGAATTACTGCAGAGGTGTGGTTTCAGTTCACATGTATTTAAAAGAAATGCGAACTTTGAATTACAAGCACAGATCCTTGTGGTTTTTATCTATGTTACCTCAGTAATTAGAGCCAACAGGAGCAAATCCAAGAGCAAACTGGAATGAAACAGCTGCTGCTGCACAGCCCCCAGGGGTCACACAAAACAGGGGTTTACTCTAGACTAGCTCATCCTCTCTGTGGACTGAGCGCAGGTGGAGCACGTTGCGTGATCTTTGGCAGTGCAAATGGCAGGTTGTTTGTCTGACAAGACTCTGGTTCGTGTACTGAGCTAAAGCAATACTGTGGTACAGGATGGCGATCCAGAAATCTGCTTCAAAAACATGCTTCTGATTGCCACTAAAGCACTAACATCTACACGCCCAATGAGACCGGAGTATTGCTTCCTATTTTACCAGGAATACCACCATTTTAGCAGAAATGCCTCTTTTACCAGAGTTTGAATATTATGTTTCCCTGGTTTGCCACACTGAATTTTAAAATCCTAAAGTCCTGCTAATACCACTAAAACACAAGAAAAACTGATATTTAAGCTGGCACTTTTCTCAGGTCAAAACAGTCTGTAGATGACAAAAAAAAAAAAAAAAGGTAAAAAAAAAAGGTAGGGTGGGGTGGGGAAGGCCTATTCTTTCATAATTTAAAATATAAAGAAGCAAGACATGATTAATTTGACTATATCAAAAATCTTTATGAATATGATACTCGGACTGCTTGTAACTCTCAAATACTCCCTGGTCTAGCAATTTACTACAACATGTATTTAGAACATTTCTTACGCACTCAATAAATTTAGCTTAATTACAAGCAAATTTACCATATACATGCGTACTCAAATTCTGGTATTTATCTAAATACACACTGGTATGAGTAGAAAATATCGAAATATTTTCTGTTTTACAAATGCATCAACTTGTAGTTCATTTCAACAACTGTCTAATAATACAGCGTATCCTGACAGTCAGCGAGAACTGATACTAGCCACAAGAATCCACCTTTCTTTAGGAACAGAATTAGGCAGTACCATTTGCTTTAGGAACACACACACACATTTTTATTGTACGCACCTGCAAAGAGGGTCTTCCCAGTCAGCATTTCAGCAAAGATGCAACCTGCAGCCCACATGTCAATGGCTTTAGTGTAGTTGTTAGGTGAAAGCAAAAGACGGGGTGATCTGTACCATTTAGTAACCAATCCTTCAGAAAGATGGCCCTAATAAAAATAAACAAACAGAACAAAATGCTTACTTAAATTTTTAAGAGGTATGTTTTTAGATTCTCCCCCTCCTCCCCTTACATTTCAATGCAGTACTTCAAGACTTTGGTCTCATGCTCCCAGACAGCACTAGCCCACGTACTATCTACTAAACTTCCTACCCTTTAAGACAGTGCTGTCTTTATGAATGAGCAGCAGCAGACAAATATGATACTATTTATTAGTCAGATAATTTTCTTATTCCCAGATGCCAAATAAACACAGAGATAATAATGAACTCTGAGGAAACAGCGTTTGAACCAGGAACAGAGCATCTCTGAATAAATTCCAGGAAGTAGCCACACAATTTGTGTACTTGTACACTGTTTGTAAGCTTATCTAAGGCTACCACAGTTATGCCTCTTCATGTTACTCTTGAAAACCTCAAGTCCTGTATTCACTGTTAAAAAGAAATCTGCTTTTCTGAATACATCTAATAAAGTTTTATTTTCTGCTGCAGTTATTGTTCCTATCCGAGATAAAAGATGTCATCCAGAGATCTGTTTTATTCGATTTGCAGACATTTCATTTCTACTGCGTTTGCTCCCTAATGATATCCTGCTTGCTAAAAAGCCTTCCATGGACTACATTTTACTCTAAGTGCCTAGACAAGGACTGGCAATATTATTTAATACTGCAAGAAGGAAGAAAGATACAATTTTAAGGAGGCACAGTTTATCACTTAAATATTCCCACTCTTCACGTACCTTGTGGGAATAGTGAGGATCCATGATTCGTGCAAGACCAAAGTCACCAATCTTCAGCACCAAGTCTTCAGTATTAATGAAAAGATTAGCTGGTTTGAGATCTCTATGCAGAACATTTGCAGAGTGAATATACTTGAGCCCACGTAGCAGCTGGTACATGAAAAGTCTGGCATGATCTTCCAGTAAAGGGCCTTGCTCTAGCAGATTAGCCAGATCTGTCTCCATGTATTCCTGGACAATGTAAACACAGTTCAATTCTGTAAGGGAGCCCACATCATCTGTTAACTGGCTTCCACTAGGACCAAGAATTTCAAATACTTTGACAATGTTATCATGGTCAAGTCTTCTAATAATTTTGATCTCACGTAGAGCATGTTTAACACTCTGGGGATCTGTAAGGACAATTTTCTTGACAGCCACTCTTTTGTCACAGTCATTGTCGACAGCAGAAAAAACTAAGCCATTTCCACCACAGCCCAGTGGTTTTAAGTCCATATACCGAGAGCCCAGATCAAAACCATGAATGTTCATGAGACTTTCAAATTTTTCTGCCATTTTATATTTCTTTACGTTTCTTTTTCCTCAAACTACTAAGCTTCTGTAAACACGCGGAGACACTTCCACTGGTATCTGAAGGAAAGGTCTTATAGAAAGGGAGAAGAAGCACGTGGCTTTGACTGCAAGATGGTTTCTTGACACTCTTCTTTCATCATGAGCCAGCCAGGCCTGTTGTGTCCCCTTGAATTTAGAGCCCGTAAGCTCTAGAACTCAAACCGAGCATAAGATAGAAAGAGTGCAGCATTCATAGTTCAAGAAAGGTGCAGCATTTCTGCAGACATTAAAGAAAATACTCACAAGAAACTCAAACGGAATGAAATGACATACTATGCACTCAGCTCTACTGTGCTAAACTGGTTAACATTTAACAAAAACGTGAATAAATATGCACATAATAGGCTTCTATTAACATCCTCCTCCTCACAGTGCAGATACATTCAGTGTTGGACTGGTCCTGAGCAGCGTCATTCTATGGTGCTGGTAAGCACTATTTGTTTCTTCTTCCTCCTTCTTCCTCTCCTTTGTTTACAGTCTAGTTAAACAGGAAACTGGCAGCTCTTGATTTACAAAAGATGCCTTCTGTTAATGATCAGGTGGCTCCAGCTCACCACAATCACAATCAAAGCTACCATCCATCTTACTCCGTGACAACCTGAAAAGGAGACAAAGCAGATCAGTATTCCAGGTACATACAGAAGGCCGTACTCCTCCTCCTTCTCAAGCTGTCCTAAATACACAACTTGTGTCCATTTGCAAAATAACAAACTGCCGCAGAAGCTGAACCACTAGAAATGATGTACACTTTTCATACTTCTCATGGAGAGAAACTGACAATAACCACCAGACAGCTGTTTCTAAATATACACCGTGGAAATTTTATATATAACCCATCGAGAATGCAAGGCTCACAAATCAAAAACCCTATTGACTTCTAATAAAGGGAATATCATAGAAAACTTGGAATTCTCCAATGCAGCTGTTAGCTAATAACAGCAACAATAATATCCCACACCTCAGTCAAATTTTGAAATAATTCTTTCCACTCAATTTTTACTCAAAGAAAAAAAAAGTTTTGTTTTTTTTTTAACCATTTTGCATAATAAGACATAAGTGGGTGCCATTCACAAAAAAGGGTAAGGTTTGTGCACTCCCAAGATTTGCTGAATTTAAAGAATACATAGCGTGCATCCAGTGCCACTTATAACAAGGCTTAAATCGTAGCTAACTCATAACTCAAAGCACAGTTTTGCCTCTATACACTGATTGTTGCAGAAATCACAGGGGTACTTCCTACACGTTCGATAAATGTTACTAATTTATCAATTATTTCCACAGTTACAATATCTCAATTACAGAAAAATAAATAAATGACTACATTTCGCATAATAACCAGTATGTTCTATAACCGTTTCATCCTCTGATGTACTACGGGCACTTTCAGACATCATTAATTTTTTTTAATAGCCCAACGAATGCAATCACTATTTATGAAAACCAAAGCAGCAATTTTCTCAGCAGGTTTCCCTGTCTGCAGCAGCAGAATGCGGTCAAGACGACCATGTTATATTTTTGCAGCATATCCTCACAACTTCTTTCAAAAGCTCAAAGACACTACAAACAGAAGAAACAAAAGGAACACCTTACATGGCATGGCAAATTTTGGCCAGTTCCACTCCAAGTCACTTGTATGTGACCCCAAGAACTACAGCAATACTGAATCACTCGATGCCCTTCCTTCAGTCTTAAATTAACACATTTTAGCTCTTCAACCAGTCCTCTAAATAAACATAAAGGTTCTCCAAGCTATCCTATTAATTACGTGAATGTATTCTCTTAAAACTGTGCTAACATTTCAGTGAAACAGCCAGGAACAAGCAAAACAAGTTTCCATACTCCTAGCAGCACAGCAACCAATAAATTATTAACATTTTCTAAACAACATCTTCTTAACTCACTAATCAGAATCGCACGCAGAAATAATAACACAAAAGGCACGCTAGCAAGCAACTAGGGCTGCTTTCACACACCAACCACCACCACTCCTAGGGCGCAGGTCTGCCACCACCCAGACACTCCAGGCCACCACCTGGCTCGCATCCTCCTGCCCCAGCCACCCGGTGCCCGGGCACGCACCTCCACGTGACAAAGCATGCAAGGAAGGAAAGGTAACATAAGAAACATGCCATCCTCTGTTGGATTGTATACAAAAAAAAAAGAAGTCACCAAACGCAGTTGTTCTGCATGAACTGTTAAGCTGTCCTCTGCTGCCTGGCCTCTTGATTTTTATTTTTTACGTGACACCTAAAATCATTTTCTCCTTCACATGCACCAATTTCAGGCTCACTCATTTGGAGCTGCTGCCTGTAAACTAGTTTATTTCACTCCAAACCATTTTCCTTTTAATCCTCCCCCCAAAACTGTTACAGAAATTCCTTTTTGAAACTTACACATGCTTTAAATTTCGTACTAACTTGAGGTCCAAGGCCTCTGTCCAAACATCCTGCATTAAGTTGCGTTTTATAACCTTAGGACCATCTACTACCAGTTTTATTCTCCCCCCTAATTAAGCCCATTGTTTCACACTGCTGATGTCTTCAATGTGCGGCAGTGCTACATCGCTTCGCTCCAGTTGTGCGACACATCTGGAAGCCCTACATCAGCGAGCTCCGCTCAACAACGCGGGAGCAGGCTCAAATCCGTCCCACTGACTCATCAGCAGCAAGGAGCGGGATCTGCTCATCTCACCGCAGCTCAGCCGTTCCCCCAAACGCTGTGACGAAGCCATGGCAGCAACAGTAGGAGCAGCAGGAGAGCAGTGATGCCATTACTGCCTCTCTCAAGGGAAAGGGAGTCAGGAGGCCTGATTTCTTGTTCCGAATCCCTGAAACGATGCATTTTTAATCATTGCCTTCTACTATGCTCTTCCACTAGATCACCAAGAGTTAAGACATTTTCAGAAGGAATATAATGATTTCTTAGCTAAATCATCCTGATTGAGAAAAACAACTGCTGATGACATACTCAATCTCTGGCAGCCTTCGGTTCGACCCTATCCTGCTACAAAGTTCCTATGCAAGTGGCTTAATCCCAAAGCCACAAAAAGCACGCCAAACGAGAGTCCTAGACAGATACACTCCCTCAGGCGAGAGGGGTGAGGACAATTCAAGATTGTCCTAGTGGAAACGTCCCATTATTAGAACAACTGAAATTAAGATTCAGTAATTTGGGAGCGATCTTTCACTTACTGTAACTGAAAACACAGCAGGTGTGCAGCAGGTTCATGCAGACCCTCATCTAAACCAAAAAACACGTTTTTGAACTAACCCAGCGTGTTAACTACGCTTCCCATCACCTCACCTTGCACAGACAGCATCAAAGATGTACCTCTCACCTGAAAGTTCGGCAGCTCACCTACCACAGCCTTTCAACCCCTGCAGACCAAACCTTCCCTGCAGCAGCTCTCACAGCCCTGCTCGATTCGGGGCCGGTGAAGTGGCCGGACTTGTTTCCCCATCCAGAGTTAATAGCAAACAGACACTTCAGACAAATTGCTCTGTGGACCAGAAGTGGATAGGAGGGATGGAAAATAAAAGTTAACCCTAAACTTTCTTTCGTTCAGACTAAAACCATAATTACTTAAAGGATAATTTACTAGAATGGGTCAAGGCATTTTTCAAGCCAAAATAAGCTCAAAGTAAAAATCTTTTCTTCTTTGCATTTCACAGTCACTTTTAACTTTGGAAAATGATTTTTTTTTTCAAAAACAAACACACTCATACTTCAAAGAATGACACCAACACAAATAAACTTTATACATTTTCAGCTTCAACGCCAGTCATAGCTATCAGTCCAACTGCCTGTCTGAAAATAAACAAGAAATTAAAAAACCTGACAAACCCTTCCTCAGTTACGTAACGTGCTCTGAAGGCCTGTAAACAATGATAGACTATATTATAAAGAAGGGGTCTTTAATCAACCCGATTTGTGCTGAATTGGCCGTTCACCCAGGCACTGATGTTTTTGCTTAGATTATCTGTCACCTTTCCACAACTACCGCTTTTTTTTTTTAAATGGTACTTTTATTCCTTCCTCCCACAAAGTTTAAAGAGGGAAGCACCAAGATATTAGTTTCTTAAGTGGTTTACAGCTATGCCTTTAAAACGGCTGAGTTCCCGGCAGCGGGCGACAGAAGTGCCCCACAGAAGGGCTGTCCTCTTTGAAATTATACCTAGCGCTGGCAGACACCGACACACATGACTAGCTTCATGCATTATGCAAGCAGCCGCCTGAATTCGTGCTAAACTTCTGCATGTGGATTTATCACAGCTTTCAGGAAACAGGATGTACACTAAAACACAGTCAAGTACGAAACGTTTACTTTTTCCGAAATCCAAATAAGATGGAAAGATACAAGTTAACTCCATAACGCAGGCCGCGTAATGATCGAATCATTACTCACAGGAGAAAGACTCGGAGTGACTAATGACATATTATACAACCTGCTAAGTACTATCCCTTCAACTATAAAAACACGGGGCACAGGAGGTTTTTTTACAGCCCAGCCACGTTGCAGTCAGTAGGCAGCGTGAGTCATCGCCGACCCACGGCACCGCCGCTTCGCTGCAGCCTCCTACTTGCTCCCCACACCGCTTAGAGAACTCTACCCTGGCAGCCGGCAAACCTTACTATGAGTTTAGGAGTCTTCCGAAGGATCTGTAAAAGCACAAAGAAATCCACTCAGTTTCTCCCGCAACACACACAGAAGCGGTGCGGCCCCCCCTCAGGTCGGTTCGGGGAAGCCTCCAGCCCTGCTCCTCAACACCGAAAGCGGAGCCCCGGCTCCCCGCGGCCCCCGGCCCTCAGCAAGCTGCCGCCGCACGCCGGGGGGCTTTCAACCGGCCAGGAGTGGCTGGGACGCGGTGACCCCAAAAGCAAGGGCTGCGTGCGAGGCCGAACGGCAGCTCCCATCGCTTCCTGACCCCTACCACCCACTGGAGCCCACCCTGGCCTCCAGCCGGCGCTGCCCGTGCCCCGTGCCCGCTCCACACGCGGCGCTCCCCGCGGCCCCTTCCCCCCGGCACGGCCACCCGCGGAGCCGCCCGGCCCCGAGGGCCCCCGCAGCGCCCCGCCAGGTGCCCGCGCCGCCCGGCCGGGCCCCGGGGCAGCCCCCCCCGAGCCGCCCCCTCCGGCGGCCGCCGTGGGCACGGGAGGCGCGGTGCGGCCGCGCGGTGCCGGCCCTACCTTCAAACGCCCTTCAGGGCGCGGCGCCGCCCGCTGCCCCCGGCCCCGCAGCGGAGCCCGGCCCGGCCCCGGGAGGCGGCCGCCGGCCGGGGGCAGCTCCCGCCCGCCGCCGCACTGCGGAGGGGCCGGGAGCGGGGCGCAGCGGGGCCGGCGGCAGGGAACAAAGCGCCTTTGTGCGGCGGGGCCCGGCCCGAGCCCCGCTCCCTGCCCTGCCCCGCCGCCCGCCCTGCCCCGCCGCACTCACGGGCCTTCCCAGGCTCATCGGGGGCTGCGCTGCTCACACGGCCGGGCCCCGCGGCCCCGCCACCGGCTCCCGCCCGGCGCCCGCCCGCCTCGTCGCAGTCGCCGCCGCCGCCGCAGCCGCCGCCGCCATGTAACCCGGCGCGGAGGGCAGGGAGGGGCCGGGCCGCCGCCGGCTCCGCCTCGCCGGGCGGGGCGCGGCCGCTGCCGGGCGGCGGGGCCGGGCCCGAGGGGTCCCGGCGCGGGGGGAGCCGCGGCCCCGGCACCCGGCACCCGGCACCCGGCCGGCGCGTCGGGAGGCCCGAACGCTGCGGCTCCGCTGGCAGCAGGGGCCTGCGGACACGAGGAGCGCCCCAGCAGCGCCCCGGTACCGCTCCGGGCACCGCCTGCGGCCGCCTCGCTCCGCGCCCTGCCGGCGGCCTGCCCGGCCCCACGGCTCGGCTGTGGTGGGGGGCGCTCGGGCCCAGCCCTGCCAGCACCGCGGGGCACGGCTGGGCTTGGCGGGGTCAGCATCGCGCCGGTGGAGACGGGGCACGGCGAAAGAAAGGCCGGGCACAGAGCAGGGAGCGGCGGTGCCGGCTTCCTGCTGCAAAGCCTCGGCTCCGGCAGCGGGCACAGGGCCTGTGGCAGTCCGGGGAGGCAGAGGAGCAGAGCTGCAAGGCCCAGCACCAGCTGCAGCCGCAGCGGGGAGGGGGCTCGGCCGCCCGCGCCTTCGGTGTCCGTCGTGGTCAGGAAGGGAGAAGGGCGTTGGAAGGGACCGACAGACAGCGGCTGGCCTCAGACGGGGACCTTTTGACTAAGATTTTCTGCAGCTTCAGTGTCACGAAGACCTGAATGTTTTCCCCACAAACATCTGCTGTGGCTTTCAGCTCCGTAGATGCCAACCTCCTCGTTTCCTCTTTTGCAATTGCATCTTCCTTACCGGCAGAGGAAGAGACAATAAAATTCTATTTTTTTTCCTGAAAATTATAACTAAAATAGAGCAAAATACTTCAAACATTAACGTTTTTCCCCATGAGACTTTTATACAGCCATCTCACTGCAGGGAGAGATGTTTTCACAGATGCAGAAAGATGCATGAAGATACCGGGGCTGCATGGAGCAGAAGTCTGGCAGTGCTACCAACAGAGTTTCAGTACAGCTCTCAGGCAGGGGGCTTTCCCTGAATCCCACATACACCTTTTCAGTGTAGGATGCCTCAAGATAAAACAATTAATGCTCATTTTTACTGGTTAAACAGATTATTTATGGCTAGAACCAGCATAGAAATTACTCAGTGCAGAGGGCTTTGTGCCTCCCCCTGCTGCCATCCAGACAGCAGCATCCAATTGACCCTTTCAGTTTTAAATCACAGAGCTTGTTTTCTTTTTGCTTTTGATTTTAATAAATGTGCTGCCATGTTGCTCCAACTCAGTAAGAAAAGTCTCCCGGCAGGCAGAATCCGCATTGTTCTGTGGAGTAAGTTAGAAAGGGAAGAAACGAAAAACAGTTCCTCAGCACTTCAGTAGCCTGATGCCTGACGAAGAGGTGGCTTGGGGCACAATCCCAAGGCATGTGTACCTGAAAAGAAATCTACAGATGAGGCTGCCAGAGGCCTGCAAGTCTGCTGAGGCTGCAATGCAGCTTCTTGTCACGGCTCTTGTAGGACAATGCATGTGTCTGCAACGGCAGTCCCCAGGCACCTCGGCCCTCCAGCACAGGTCACAGCCCTGCTCTCTGGCTCTTTCAAGCCAATTAAAATAAAGGGCTCTATAGAATTATTTTTTTTTTTTTTTTAAGAGCATGAGGGCAGAAATGTAGGGGGAAAGCGTTGAAAAGAAAGAAAAAATATCAACAGCCCCAACCTTTGCCGTCCACCAAGCAGGAACATGGAGCAACATGAGCTACAACCAGCTACCAGTTTGCTGTGGCCTCAACCTACAGCATTACCCCTCTTCACCTGCCCAGCAAAAACCAGGAAGGAAACCTCTGGCATAGCCCCGCTGGCACTGCTACCAGTGCTCGACTGCACGAAGACGTTTGCTCCCTGAACAGCTGCATCCAGTCTTACTGGAAGCGAGAGAAGAGGGGATGCTTGATAATTCAGTACAGTACGAGTACCATGCACACAGGAGTCAGCAGACAAACTGTCACTGTACATTGCAATATTTGCTAATTTATAGGCACCCAACTACGCTGCCAACAGTGGAGAAAAGTCAGAAATGAAGTTGCAGCTCCTGGCCACCCAGCAGAACAGTGCTGGAGGATTGCAGCACTGGCTGCTCCAGAAGGCCTGTATTTAAATACAGTCTATAAAAAAACTGCAAGAGTGCTTATTTGGAAGAGGTGATGTTAGGACAGCAATGAGAGCCAAACCACAAAGGAGAATTTACTTGCATTAAAGAAAGAGATTTGGGACTCAAAAAAGGCAGGAGCAGCAGTGGTTGTATGTCTAAAAGCCAGAGCTATTTACTTAATTAAAGAATCCTTCCACCCATACAAAGTATTTTCTTTATGAGATTCAAAAATTTCAGCTGATACTAGGGTACTGCAGTAAGAAAAAAAAAAGCAGAAAAAAAAAAAAAAAAGCAAAAACAAAACAAAAGCTAAAAGAAAAAAAGCTAAAAAAAAGCTAAAAGAAAAAAAAAAGTTAACACATGCTCACTCATAAATCTCACATAGTCCAGATGTACCACTGTTTTTCTGGGATCCTAATTAAAAAAACAATATCTTTTTTTCCCCCAACATTTTTCTCTGCCATTCGAAGAGCATAGTCTGTGCAAGGAGCTTGTGAATGAGGTCCTTCAGTCTAGAGGAAAATCATGCCTCAAGGGACTGGCACAGGAATGGTGCTTGTTTTCAGCCTCACTACTTACAGAGTCATCATGCACATGATTTAAGAGTTGCTCAGAATTTAATTGTGTGTCATGTTGCAGTTAATAGCCATCTAATCCAGAAAAATTGCTAATCCATACCCAGATTTCTTATAGCCTATTGATTAGGTTGTAAATTACTGGGTCAAATTGTTTCCCCATTTCCCCATATGAACACAGTTGGGTAGCTCATAGATGATACATGATACCGTCCCATTCGAAAACATTTGCAGATATTAACTGTCAGTAAAATGCAGAGTAAGAAAAGGACTGGTCTTAGAAGGCCATAAAGCCCAGCAATTAAAAAATAATTAGAACTGAAACAATGAGTCATTTATTAGATCCAAATTCAAAAAGATCAAACAGCAAATTCCAGTGTAATATTTCAGTCCAAGTATGAATCATTACTTGTGGCATAAAAGGGAATGAAGTATTTTTTTTAAGTAGCCACACCCATTACAATTGGCAAGGGAAGAAAGATTTTGACAAGACTTAAAAAGGTTGCCCAAGGTGACTTGGCTGCTCCAAGCTTTTGTCTCAGTTTCACTGCTTCACGGAGCTTTGCTGTGGGAAATCACTGTTTTCTGAGCCTATACAGCACTCTGATGATCCCAGGTATTTTCAGAAGAGGCTGAACTTAAGCCTGTAGCTCACACTGAGCGGACTCCCCTCTCAATGAAGGTGTCTCCGGTGACACCTGATGGATGCACCCCAGGTCCTGTGGGGTCAGCTCCCAGGCAGCCAAATTTGTCAGGACACATGGGAAGAGTCCAGAAGCACACGGGACTGGAGGAACTGCTGGCACCGCAACCCATGCGCCCTGCTGGAGGCAGGGACAGCTGCCTCTGCCAGCAGATGGTTTTAAGTGCTGATCACGTTTCTTACCACGGCCTAGGATGCATTTTGCATGGGCATGGGGATGGGTTTGGAGACCAAATCCAATTTAGCAAAAGAAAATGGGGAGGGCTCAGAGAAACATGGTTTCTGCTGCCTCCTTGGCTTATTCCTGCATACCTGTGCTCTGCAAGGGTGACCAGGCCCCTGAACGTGGTTTGGTTTTCCTGGCACAGCTCCCAGGATTTTTGTAATGGTTTGTTTGGGTCGTCTTTAACTGCTGCCTTCTCCAAGTAGCCTAGTTCTCTGCAGGTGCTAAGCAAAGTCCTTACAAACCACTTGCTCTGCCAGGCTAGTTTCATGCTGCTGGCATACAGCACAGAAGTCTAGTTAACATCGGGTTTCACTGACAAGCCAGCAGCCCAGGTGGCTTCATTTCTTGGGCACCTCTATTCCCTGGGATAGGGCTGACTGCACCTTTCCATACTGGATGCAGTGTTTTTGGTTGGTTGGTTGGTTTACACAAACAGATTTTCCTAACAAACACACTCTGGGTTTGCTGACGTTAATGCTTTCCCAATAGATTTTAAAGTCAACTTCACGCCAACATTATTAGCAGTTAACCACACAGAAGTCATCATCTTAAACTATTTTACCAAAATTTTGTGTCAAAATTCTTTCTTAGTTAAATTCTGCTTGACAATAGCCAAAACTATCTAGCACAGACAGCATGCTGTCACTTCGTGTACTCACTTGGTAGAACTGAGTTTGCTGGAGCAAGCTTTGTACCCATCTACAGTTTGATCAGGAAAGAAGATATGAGATCATTAGGGGGCTTAGAAGAAAGGAAAAAGGCAAACCCTAAGATCTT